GGTGTGTTACAAAACGGGCAAATTAGGTAGTAAATGAAAAAGAATGGAACCATCTTATGACATAACAAATAACGGGTATCAATAGAGAGCAGCACTTTGGTCACAAGTACGATTTGGGTAGCATCGTGCAGTGACTGACAGGGGGACAGTTGACTTGTAGATAGTGATGAAGGGTTATCCATCTACTGGCGATCAGGTCAGTCAAGGATGACATAGAGATAAGATAGAGAGGATGAACTCCCCAAAACGAACAGGGGTAGTTGCCATTGCCATGTGGAACATCTATTATCAATGTTTCTGTAGGAAAAATCAAAGTTTAGAAGTCATATAAGAAGTTAGATTGCTGCACGTGCCTCATAACAAGTATACAATAGGTAACGTCTACTCATGAATATTTGAAGTTGTATGGATTGTTAAAAAAAATAGGAAAAAGTTGTATGGGTAATTAGGTGCCTAGAGTCGGCGATCGGGAATGTGAGCCTCGGGAGAGAGAGAGACCAGGGAAGGTCTCTGACAGAGGGACAAGGTGTTGCCCGGGTACAGCACTTGGTGTCCATTAGAACTATGTGATTGATGTTGAAGCTCTGTATAATTCGGGCGCTTGTTGATTGGCTGTTGTGTTTCAGAACGATGTTAAAAAAGACGTTTTCCAAATTTGGAAGATTTTGCAGAGAGGGAATGCCTAGGGTATGGCATCTGACTGTTGTGGGCCACAACGCGTATTAGTTATAAAAACCCATAGTACACATGTCTTGTCCCGCGTGTTGTGTAGCATATGCCTCAAAACATATAGTTGATTATTATCAACTTGTCTTGGGGAAAATGCTTCTAAATCATTAAACCCTCGAATTACCACCCCATGATCCATGATCCCAGAGGAGGTTTTGTCTTCCCTCGCAAACTAACTGATATCCATTCCCAAAGAAACGAAAATGCGTATAAGGCAACTTGGCTGAGATCCGTATGTATGATTGTTCTCACCATTGAGTTGATGATATGGCCCATATAGTTATTGGAAGGTCAGTCTTAATGTTTTAAATGTTACAATCATCACAACTTAATTGAATACTTCCAAACGAATGTGAAAAACATAGTTCTGTCAATATGGCCAGCTAGCATGTTTTTACCCATAACTTTCGATAGTCGTTACTGTTGGGTGGGGTATGTTTTGTTTTATTAGCTCCATCATATCAATGATAGCACAGTAAACAACAAAAAACACCCATACTTCCAACATGTTCAGTGTGTTTACCATCAAGATGTAGGTACTTAAACTTTACCGCTCGATCGAACTTCTCGAATTGCACTATATTTAATAATTCGGCCCTCCGATGTGCAGATTGTTTATAATTTATTTTCTTTGTGTAATTTTGTCAAATTTGCAGTAATGAACTAATGAAGTAGTGATGTAGCAATTATTATTACAGAAGACCTTAGTGACAATCAAAGCTTAACAAATCTGCTCGTTATCAATTTTGTAAAAGGAAGGCAGTGCCTGAAGCATTGTTTGTTTCAAGTCTTCAGCTTTAGGTCATTCGACATAACAACAATTTATGCCGTTTTCACTTCTACTTTCTACTATCAAAACAGCAGTAAGCATTCGACACATTACGAGTACTAACAATCTAAATTAGGATAACAATATGGTCTTAAATTGATACCCACAAGTTCATTTAACATCTATTTTAGGAGCAATATTACTCATATATCTAATAATATTATATATCATATACAAACTATGAAATATCTACTATAAAGTATAAATGTTTGTTTTTATAAAGTGTTATCCCTTCCCCTCTTATGAAAGGAAGCTCATAGGATCTGGAGCGAAGCTAACGGTTGAATAAATACTGTAAAATGTTTGCTGCCGGAGGAACATCATCGATATCAATCATAAATAGACACACTTACATAAACATGCATACGATGTCTTATATGTTTTCATTTAATACAGTATTGACACTTAGACACGTCCTTAATTGACCTTAGCTGTACAACCAACAACCTTGAATAAAATGTTTTGCTGGGTTACCATAATAATTTTATTCAGAATGTATCATGTCACCAGTAGCCAAGGAGAGGGTTCACATATGTATAAATGTATTTTTATAAAAGCACAATTCAACGGCATATACTTGCATTTAGAGTATAGAGCAGAAACCGCCCTTCAGTCTTGTTCAGCTAACTGCTGTTGTAGCACATTAAACGCATTATCAAATCTTAAAAACAACTCCCGAATTTGTATATTGATCTTCAACATCCAATGTTTATCAAATCTTTCCGAAAAATAGTTATGTTTGTTTGTTTTCCACATTTTAAGTAAGGCTGCATGATTGAGCTGATTTATATAAATTATTGAACACAGTTTGTCTCCCTATCCATTCATAAGAAAAAAGTCATATGCGTCCATCATCATGAACAAACTAGACTCGTAAACTTCATAATCCATTCAGAATAATGATGACTTTACTGATGTTATAATTTCCCTTTGTGCCGGGTCTTTGTTATTAGAGAAAAACGCTGAGTGTGTTCCATTGACCAAACATGTGTCACATGCTTTTATTTGGGTTTTTATTTGTACTTTTGAAAATTGAAGAAAACATGCTTTGCTTTCTCCATTAACATAATCAATGAATCTTAAGATCATGTACACAACTTAAATTTGGTGATCAAGATGTTCCTCCTCAGTACCATGTCCACATATAAGGAGTATCCTATTGACATTTCTTTGACTTCACTTATGATTTTGCCATAGTCAGGACGGACGGTTGCTTTATATATTTAAATCGTTAAAGAACAAATGAGCACGGGAATATCTTTGATTGTATTTATTGATTAACCATCCCCGCTCGGGAAGTAAACGCTGTTGGGTGTAATTGTGGGTAGACTAGCCCCCGTCTCTGGACTATTGAATTATTCAGAAATTAGACTTCACTCATTTTGATCACTTGTATTCCTGGCTTTAAGACTAGCCCACGTCTCTAGAACATTGAATTATTCAGAAATTAAACTTCACTCATTTTGATCACTTGTATTTCTGGTTTTAAGACTAGCCCGTGTTTCTAGAATATTGAATTATTCAGATATTAGAATCCAACAGTATTAGTCATTTCGAAATCATATTAACACACATCTTGCCTCGGTGCGTTGCCAATGGTAAGTAATTGATCCATTAACACGGATATAATGAGCACTTGTTTTTTCCCGCTCAGGACCGTATATGGTAACAGCTATAGGTATGGACTATACGGCATGTATCCATTCTTATAGGGTTTTATAGCTCGATTAAAACGACCCTTTTATGACTTTATACGTTGTCATCTCCATGTATAGTTTATAAATGCATATATCTTAAAAAAGAACATATGCGTTATTTTCTTAGCATGGGGTCTCCGCTTAGGACCGTCTACACTCTAAAATGTAGTTGTAAGGTTTCAACTATAGAAATCATACTCGAAGTGCAGACGACTTACATGTATCTTATCTTGACGTTCCTAACCAGCCCCGGTCCCACTCATCTTCGGCCTAAGTGGGGAACAGCGCAGCTGTCTGACACCACTCGTTATTGAGTGTGTAGGCATAGCGACACCGACATTTTCTTAGGCCAGACCTACGTGAGATTCAAACATAATTTCTACAGTCACCCTGCACCTCGTGCAAATATATATAAGGTAAGTAACTATGTAATGATGCCATGTCACAGTTCATCTGAAACAGATTTTACTGCAATTATCAAAGAAATGTTGGTGTACTTATTTACGTTTCCATGTCTATGGATATTACCCTTAGGTGAGGGTACATACCCAAAATGGATCGCTTTACAATATTTACATTTCCTATTAACTTTCTTTAATAACAAGCATTTTTAACTGTAATGAAACATTAGATTCCTTAGCCTTCATTTTATGTATGTATGGGTGTAACCAGCGCCTGTGTCTCTATCGAGACCTCGGACTCGGTTGGTTTGGTTGACATATATATTTGCAAAATGGATCACTTAATTGTATTGATCAATTTAGAGAAATTCCAGCTGTCTACCTATGAAATATTGCTCAAAAACTGAATTAAAAATTTTAAAAATATTTTTTTAAAATATTTTTTTAAAATCCTGGAAAACGATTCAGAGTTCTGAACATGAATATATATCTGTTTAAACGAATATCTAAATGAATAAATGAAGAAAAACACTGTAAACGCCTAACAATTATGCTTTCCACAAGTCGTATACGTCCGTACACATTTATTGATCTGATTTACACTAAATTAGATAGGGGCAGAGTTACTTCCTTTGATACTATACTTTTAAGCAATTAATTAAGGTTCAACAAGGCCCCTATGCATGTAATTTGAATATATTGAACTTTGTGCATTGGCTTTTAAAATAAAACATAGGTAGGTCAACGTAGTCGATAACAAGGCATTAAGGCAGATGTCTTCATACGAATTGCATGTCAATCTCTTTTGCAATCCAAATTAGTGCTAAGAATTGTTATATACTTACAAGTGTATGTATTAACATAGGTCATGCAGAGCTTAGAAGGACAATTTAGCGAAGTAACATTTCTCTACAATCGTTTCTTCATGATAGTATAGTTTGAGAAATATTCCTTATGCATAATTCATATTGAGAAATTGACAAGAGACAATGTTTTTTTATTAATTAGTAACAAAGAAATCCTCAATTGTGTAACCATTGGTTTTAGCGGAAGCTGTCGTTGAACAAAATGTCTTTCAAGCAATTGAGATATAAACTGTGTTATTTGGAAGGTCGGTCATATATGTCCTTCGGCAAGGATATCCACAGGTAAACGTTATAGGTAGTTAGCTTACCTGCTTTTCACAGATAAGATGAACCATATGGTGTGTTTGAAAACTGTAAACTAAATATCTGTTAGGTAAACATTACATTGAATGTAGTCGATGCATATCTTAATGTTTTGCTTCTTTATCGAACAAAAATTAAAATAAAATACTAATAATATTTTTGTTTATTGTTTTAGGATCTATGGGTATTATGGAACGTAGTCATGTTTATCTCCTGCTCTTCTGCTGTTTATTCTTCAGAGAAAGTGAGTATCAAACAACTGTGTGGTGCAGGGTTTATCAGAGTACCGTTGTGGTCTCCTTTAATGATCCATTGTCAATTGAAAAAAAAAAACATCGTGTGTGGTTTTAAACTTAGCTTGCCAGATGGGCCAAGTGAGCTAGAGATGTAGCATCCCTCGTGCATTTGTCCAAGTTTGTTCCAACAAGGGAATTTTTCTAACTCTCAATGTCACGAGAGTCGAATGTGTCAAAACAACTTGAATCAGCAACGTCTCAATAACGAAAATGCTTAGGGTGATATTTTACCAACGACATGCTGGAATGAAGAGCTACAAAGTGTGTTCAAATTCATACGTTTACTTACTTTCAAGGTCATTGGAATCTGATGTTTAAAAATGTATGTAAAAGGCATCATCCCTACAAGCACAAGTCACTGTACTTGTTTAAACATATCGATCTTGTGGTTGATATAAATTCAGAAATTATTTATAGATATATATTATTTCACTACAAGTATATTTACACCCATAGTATTGTGTATATTCGTGAGTTTTCTTCCCTTAACTTTGCAATACTATGATAATTTAAACTATATCTAAACAAACAGCTTGACTAAATCGGTCATATGTACCAGTACAAGTGTCTAGGTAACTGCATAAGTTGTTAATCACAGCTGCTTTAGCAGTATAACATCATACAACATTAGGGGATTCATCTGGCCTTTGGCCCATTGAGGAATAGGTAGAAATTACATGTGTGGTTATTTCTATCACATCAGAATTATAATTATTCAAAATCGAGTTCCAAATTGTACAAACACAATTATTATGCCCGTGTGCGTCCCGTCCAATCGCGACTCAATATAAACACTCTATCAACTTTTGTTTTTGTCAGATTTTGATCACACTTTATATAAAGATCAAGCATGATGATACTTCTTCTATATCTGTGTTTTATGGCTCCAAGGTCAATGTTGCCACTATTGCTGTATATAACAAAAACATCAATGGAATAATTTTCCTCAGTCTAGCTACTTTATTTCTTAACAGATTTCCATGAAAGTTGATACATATTTTAAGTATGAGAATGCATCGGATGAGCTCATGTTTCAGGATTCCAATGTCAAGGTCAATGTCACTATTGCTATTTACAGAAAAAAAAACAATTCCGTATGATCAGTCTACCAAATTTATTTCCTCATTTTGTTTCAGTGCTCGAAGGTCAAGGCCGTGGCGTTATATATAAGGCTTTTGTTATATATATATATATATATATATAGAACGTCTTCAAGTTAAATGTTAAAAGTTAATCAACTTGGCATCACTCTAACTTTTTCGTTTCTAAACAAATTTTGATTACAGTTTATACATAATTCAGGTATGAAAATACCTCAGATGAGTTCATGTTTCAACGGTCACTCCATGTTGCTATTCAAAGATTTGTTTCTCCATATTTCTATATTTGGCAAATGTCATGTTATCAAAAACTGACACTTATTTTACTTGGCAGTGGGTTCATTCACGTCTGTTTTAGTCATATGTGTTCATTGTTTTTACTGTGGATGCTGAAATATCCAGTTGTGTAATGCAGGCCCTTTGGGCATCTTGTATCAGTTAACGTCATACACGTAAATGTTTATCGATTGTAGGTCTTTGTGGCACCTCATTAAGTATAGACACGTGTGGATTTTCTGGGGAGTCAGTGTCATTAAGCTGTACGTTACCATCTACGGAATTTACACAACCTATAGCATGGAGCAATGATATCATTGTTGGAGACATCTCAGCTTGTACACCAGGTGGCTGTGGTGCTCCTTCTAATAGTCGCTATTCTGCATCAGCAGACCCAAATGGAATATATATGTATATTGCAAGACTCTCAAGGGCTGATGATGAAACAACATGGAAATGCACAATGCAAGAGGAGTCCCCTTCAACTTTGAACCTGGTTGTTAAAGGTAAGTTTTCTGGAGCCATGTATTGAGGGGATTTGGTGGATTTATTGCTGTAAATGTTAGAAAAAAAGGCTTAATTATTAAAAAAACAAGAATGTGAATTTCAAACAGACGTCTGTCGAAATTTTCCAAGAATGGAAATAAAATATTAATATAACGTAGAAAGTGTTGGAAATGTTGTAGGTTTAGGAAAGGTGTGATTAAAACATCATTTTGATATGTGATTACTCGATAAAAAATATACAGTCTATTTATAAAAAAAAATGCAAGGATGGAATCTAAAATCAAACCTGTCTAGAGTGACCCGTTTGGTTATGAGTATAAAAGGGTATTATTGACAGGTGAACTTCAGAAGTTAACATTACAGAGTCCAGTCATTATATGCATCTTGATTCTTTCAACTTATAACTAAAACTGTTTTTTTTCTGTATAATAATAAGGTGTTTAGAAATGAAAAAACAGGAATTGAAACAATTTAATTCACCAGTAGTAATTGATCAATTACAAACAATTGGACCGCAAGAGTCCGGGTCGTAAAAAACACAAACTTTTTTCATCACACGGAGTAAATCATTACTGGCAAGACTTATCTACAAAAATGTGAATTAATTACCACTCTAGGATTGTAAATGAGTCAGAAGACTGTTAATGTTGATTTGATTACTAGAAATATCATCTGTTGTATTAAAAGTTTTATTACTCAGTGGGTGAGATGCTTGTGTGTGCTAATTGCCATAGAGAAAGAAAAGTATGAGCTGCTTTTCATTAGATAGCACACCTAGTACGAAGTACCTGCGAACTTATGGTATGGTGTTTTCTCCGTCGTCCACCGTCCGTCAGAACCCGGGTATCTAGGGTCAAGATGTTTTTTTTCCAGTAGGTAACTGGGATGAAATACTATAAATATGTTTCAAACACATGACCTTGACCTACTTCCAAGATATCAGGTGTCTAACAACTTTCAACAACTTCTTCTGAATAACCAAGAGGTATAGTTTAATAACATTTGACAAGTTGATACCTGGCATGGAGCGCTGTAACGTTTCATCAAATAAATTACCTTGACATTTAAAGCCCATAGTTGCCAAATATATAAAAATCTTAAAACAGTGTTTGTATATGTTGCCATTAGGTAACTACAAGATGTAGTGCGATGAAAATAATTTAAGGTCACAACAGTCAAATGTGTTGAGTCTTTCTTACAAGTTCTTCTGAATAACTAAATAGTTTGGTGAATATACTTACATGTAGCAAGTAGAATACTGTGTTGTGGTGCTTTAACGTTTCCAAAAAAAAAGACCTTATCTTACTTTCAAGGTCGCTGCGGTAAAATATGTACAAACCTTGAATAAACAGGACGCCGATAATGATGATGCTTTGTCAATATTTTTAGGTACAGCGTCAGGTGATTTGATATTGAACCCCTGCGAGGGCGACAGGCGTCGCTCAGGTGAAGGGGCTCAACAAAGGCACCTGGGCATTGTCGCGGGGAGGGGGGGGGGGAGCACCCCGCTCGAATTAGTCCATTTAATTAAACGGTTGACCGGCAGCTACCTCATGCACTTTACATAGAGAATAATCCATATGCTTTTCAACATCACACCCAGTATCAACCCGATACTCCAATATCAGCTCGGCTATTACCTGTGAACATCTACCGAAATTATCCGAATCATTATCAAAGTTAATGTTCTTTAAATTGTCTGAGCTAATGGCTATATCTGAAGATGAAAAAGGGTGCAATGTAATTAGTTAGTATAAATAATTAAATTGGATTTCACTGAGTGTCTAGGATTCCTGAATGGTATATGCTGTATGCATGAGTCATCGGGTGAACATCGATCTGAATAAAACAATTATGGAAGCTAACAATACCTTACGTAAGACGAAACTCTCTCTTACGGTTGGTTAAGCAGCCCGCATTTGTTGTGAAGCTGAGTTGTATGCAGCAACTCACGCTTACTACAGTCTGTATGCGTAAATAATCAGAAATCTATCTAATAATTCACAAATTTGAGGACCTAGTTACAGATGGCGTTGTTTCAATTACAATACGTAAGTCGCGGTCAATTAAAGGTGAAACCGAAATTCTTTGACGAGTAACAGAGATATCTGAAGATGTTTAGATATTTGCTTTGATATGCATAGTACATACTATTGTGTGATCGCTATTGTGTGATCGTTTATATAATAAGTATTACGATCTATTTACCGAAACAAAATGTATTGTCACCAATTAGCGAAGGGCGAGTCATACGTCCTATTGGCCTTCGATCTTGACAGGTATTACAGAACATACACGGCACAGAATGGTTTTGAGATAGGCTTTCAACCCAAGAAATATAATATACTTTGTCCAAATTTGGCTGATTTAGTTAGTCCATTTTCTACCAGAGAGTAAAAAGCCTTTACAAAACTACAGGTACTGGCGGCGGCGAGTCCCCTTGGCCAACAACAAGTAGCTAGCTGCCAGTTAACATGTGTCTCAAGTTGTCAAATCATGATTAGCTTCACCATCCCATTCATTAGTTAATGTATTGTACCTACTCATCTATTATGTATTAGCATTACAATGTTCACCTTGCAGGCACGTATATATCTATATGCCAATGAGTACATTTAACTTTGTCGAATGAAAAACATATGTAAGAAATACGTGAGTTTTAAGCCTCAAATTTATTTTGTTTTAAATCACAAGACAACCTCTTAAATTGCCACAAAACACGGGAATAAGCTCCAGATACCTTTTTGAATTCAAAATTCTCCTTCGGGACGCCACATCCTGACTGGAACCATGTCAATACTCGAGGCACATATACTGCTTTGCTTCGGCTTAAATTAAGAGTTGGCTCGTATCAACGACTTGACTGAAATATTGGCCGATGTCGACTCGAATTGTTCAAACTACTTTTCGTAATTTCGTGTAGGCCTAGTTCGAACAGGATGACAATATTGATTAGAGAGATTATATTTCAACTGCTATGTTCTTACTGTAAGATAACTTAAAATGAAGCAAATCTAACTTTTAGTTTCCCTTAAAAAATAAAAATCCGTTCAACAAAGGTCAAAGAACAAACACATTGATTATATATACATTCTAGCTATTTTTTGAAAAAAAATATCTGCTTCAGATTCAATCTAAATTCCCACATTTAAAAAGAAATTATGGTCAAGAGAATGATACAGTACTCACATAGCAATACACCCACTGTAGTGTATCTAACAAATTACTTTGTGCAACTTACCTATAGTAGAGAAGATGACAATATTAGCTAACGCAGGTAAAAACAAAACAAAACAGAAAATAGTTTGAGAGTATTTTGATGTATATATACATGTATTAAACATTAGATGTATATACTGTGTATTGATATGCAATTAAAGCGATATTTTAAGAATGTTTCGCAAACTTGTCTGATGTAAACAGCTGGTAATTTCTTGATGTAAATATCAAGTTGTAATTTTTATGACATTTCTCTTGAAATTGAGGAAAAGAATACTAAATAAACAGTTGATAACAGAGACATCATTCTGATTCCAAGACTATGTGGAGCATATTGATATCATCATATCAGGCTGTCGGACAACATTTGTTTTGTCTGCAGGTTCTTGACTAAGTGTTCAACCAATCTTAAAGAACCTTCATACCCATATTACTGATTTCAATTTCTTGAGACAAGTTCAAGTCGTAGGTTCAATATCAAAATAACATCTACATGATCTCTGGAAATCGCCTGAAGGTCAATGCCATTTAATTTAAGATTAAGGTCACAACTAGATAATATTTGCATTACGATTTGAAAAATCACACCTATAGTTTGTTCACATGTTCTTATCTGAAGCTTTCAAGTTTCAACCAAATTCCATGGAACTTCATGCAAGTATATCACAGCTACAAAGTATTAACTTGGGGATGAAACAATTGCTGTGTTCATGCCCTTCTGAACAAATATTCCATCAAATATCATAAATTTACTCCATGTTGCACCTTAACCTATTATTTAAATATACACATACAACCATTACTGCCATTATTATGTTCATCGTATAATAACAGTGCTGTATGCACATTTTTAATTTGCTGATAAGCATTGATATGTGCTTGATAATCATCATGATTTTTACTAATCATTCTGTATTGGGTTTATTTATTGCAGACCATCCAACTACCTGTGCTCTTAGCAAAAATGCTGATGGCAGCTTCAAGTGCGAGACAGACTGTGGTTACCCAACATCAGACCTCACAATTGACTGGTTTCTCAACACAACATCTGTAAGATATTTTAGTTCACTTGTCCTTTAAAAAAGTACCTCACCTTGCTGTGCTCAATCTAGACAAAACATATACTTTAGAAAAAAGTTTCTAAAGGGCACCTTTTTTTCTTTTAGCAAATACAGATTTGTTTTAGGAATGTTTACGTATTGGTTCGGACGTCCACGTTAGACAATACAGTAGCAGTTTTATTTTTAAATTAAGGCGTATTTTACGTGATAGTCAATCCATTACACGAAAATGATTTAAAGAAATGTCATACTATTTTTAGCATTAGGAAATAAAAGAAAAGTATAATGAAACGGGACACCTCTATACAATGGCTTTAATCATTCTGAGGTTTATACTGCATAGTGTCTGACTAAATTAAGGACAGTCAGTCAGTGCAACATATTTAAGTAAAGTCTTTAATTTTGTCCGAGTAAACCAAAATCAATGATCAAATAAAATAATGTATCGATGCACATGATGATATATTTTTAATTTTCGACTAGTAAAACATTAAATAAAAAAACTGACTAGTAAAAATTTAAAAAAAATCCAATTTATATTTTCAAACACAAGCTTTCGTTCTCCTTGATTGTGTTCGTTTATTTATCTTCATGTCGTTAGTATAATGAAGGACACACATTCTTAAAATTATTTTGCTTGTAGAACTATTCACACAAACACATATTGTGCGAATGGCTAGCGTGAATAGGGGATTCAAGGTTGCATATTAGATGGTTTGGCTCACCTGGAGACAATTAGGGGTAGGACCTAATAGGGGCAATATATACATTTTTAATATCCTACTCCTTCATGAAAAGACCGATGTTTCAAGGTTGGTCACAGGGACCCGTAGATACTCAATATCCTCATATTTTAACTATATATGCATAGCTAGCCCTGCCCAGGATCTGGTCAGCTTGTTGGGACATTTGGTGCCGTTGTGAACAGCAAACTTGTCTTTCACTGATACAGATGGAGTTAAATTCCCTGATCAGACTTGAACAGATGACCAGCCGTGTGCTTTCTGTATGTACTCTTCCCTTTACACACAGATTCCTCACACGCTGTCATTCAGGTCAACAAGAGTGATGAACTTAGGGGTCGGTATAGCTTGTTTTATAATTGATATATATACCAAAAGCAATACTCACCATATCTTATTTAATGCTTATCAACATTTAGTTTTTTAACTTCTAAATGTTCCACACATATCATACAGTGAATTCACATTGTATTACTCGAACTGCCATCGCTCGAAACATGTGTTCCTTGAACTATGATTTATCCCGACCACTCAAAACGTTAGCATTTACCTTTCCATTCACCAAACATGTAATAGCACCTGTGCATCACATCTTCAGCGTGCAATAGACATGTATCGGTCCATGCCCATTGTGTTGATACATGTGTCGACCGGATGTCAGATAATAAGGGGATTAACGGCAGTATCATTAGGTACCTATACTGCTACCATATTGTAGTTGCGTAAATATTTTGTGTGGATATTTATTATTTCCCGACGATGTTTGACATCAATATTTCAGCAGAAGTATGAAGTAACTGGGTGTGTAATGTCATGTTTTGGCATGACAATATTAAGTGGAAATCATATAGCGGATTCTCCACCATCTTAAAAGATACTCAAATTTGAATCTGAATACGTCATGATTGTTATTTCGTTATCATTCAACATTAAAAATAACAGGGAATCATTCTTTTCTTCATTTCACTAAGTTCCTCTTGCTTTGATATTTTTGTATTTGTAAAATTAACATAGCCGAATACAGAATGGCGGAGTATTTCTCAACGATAAGTTCATCTACTATCCGCGATATTTGCATGGCTCATCCTATTTGTCATCCCACCTGATCAAAACATAATGAAATTGGACGAACCTCGGATTCGTTGAAAACAAAATAATCCTCGAACAGTTGAACAACAGACCCCCCCGCCCCCCCCCCCCCCCCCCCCCATCTCAACGTGGTTGTCAAATTCCTCCTGAAATACGAGAAACAGCCATGCTCTCTGGTTCTGGTTGCTCCTTTGTGGCTGAAGTCGTTTCACCCGGGTAGAACTTGTTGCGTTAGACCGAGGTCCATACTCATCTACACTTGCTGGCTTACTCCACCTTCGGGCAATCTGCAGTTTGTTGTTATGCCAGGAAGTGTTGAAATATATTCAGATCAAACATTGTCCATGCAGACTGAACGTCTTTTGGATATTCTGCTCAGACGTTGTCCGCCAGCTGTCGGCAATATGTGATGGAGTATCAACACCAGCCTTCCACCATTCCAAGCTATATGTCAGGTTTGCGACAGACCTCTTGTAGACCATAAGCCATCATTAGTTGCCAACATTTGTGTTTCCCGTTCCAAATTCACAGCAGCCCAGGCACTACTGATGCTTTGTTGCTAGACCTTTCACCCCTTCAACATATTGATCATGTCTTCAAGGAATTTTGAGAGGTATCACGGTAGTTGATTGTGGTAGCTGTATTGTTACCAAGTCAAACAGTTCTGTATTTTCTGTTGTAAGAGAGTCTGTTCATTTAAATAATCAGATGAAGAGCTAACAATTTTGTTAACTTATTAACAATAGTCAAGGTCACATCCAATAATAACCCTTTAAGTCCAAAATATTCACTAATGTTTCTTGTTGTTGTTGAAAGCTTTACATGTTTTGATTTTCATTGAATGAAATGGCTTGATTGATTTGTCGAATAAGTCAATATCCTTGTTGTTAAAAAGAAATTGTTCCAGTTGCCAACTGTTGATCTTTGGATACAATTGATTGAGATTTAATCTGTGAGCTACTCATCAATCTGGCTGTATAAACATGATAGGAAGAGTCCAACCATATAAGACTACTGCATGTTCTGTCTCTGTTATATTTGTGACAGACTCTACAATCTACCTGCTTGGTATATGTCTGCATATTGGACCTCGTTGGCCCTCAGTACTTAATATAAGTTTATTCTCAGCGAGAAATAATTAATTATTGCATTAACTAATGTGAATTATTTTCGCTTTACAGGCTGTTATCGATCTGACAAACCCATCAATAGCTATAGATACAACATCGACTCCGGTGTGTTCCAATGGGGGAAAGGCATCTGCTACACTTCCTGCATCAAACATCAACGAGGATGGAGATCTTTATTGCAAATGTGAAATGCAAACTGCCTGTCCACAACAAGCCCTGATTGTCAGCGGGAGTGAAGCAGTTACTGGTGAATATTATATTATCATTGACTTTGCTAAAAGAAGCTTCAGGTGGATATCCTAAATAAAGACTCTTCAAATACCTGTGTAAATTTTTGACAAAACTAAGGGTAAACAAAGGCTTGTGGGATTCAATTTTTAGATCACTTGGCCAGAGGGGCCAGGTGAGATGATGCCGTGGCGAAGCGTTTGTCCGGCGTCAGTCTTTTTTTGTATATGAACGACTTCTCCTCAATAACAGAAAAGGCTGATGGAAATGGCATTTGGCCAACAGCGTGGCTTCCTCTCTGTAACCAATAGGCACAGGGTGATTATATATGGCAAGTAGCACATGTTGGGATGAACAGTTTTAAGAACAGTTTTTACAAATGATTGATCTTGACCCACTTTGAAACCCATCGGTGTTAAATGCTTTCAAAAATCTTAGCAACAACATTTTCTCAATACCCATTAGGTCCAGTATCATGATTTTTGAGGAGCTTGCTTTGATAAATGTTTATGACATTCGTTCCAATGAATGACCTTATGTCACTTTCAAGGACACGGGAGGGAAATGTTCAAAATCATTGCAAACTATCTATCATCAATAACCATAAAACAAAGGATGATGGCCAATAGCTTGTGGGGATAAAGTGCTACAATACTTGTTCAAATAAATGTCTTTGACTCTAAACCAGGAGAAATAAGATATTATTTCTGTAATCAATAAACTATGTTATAATGAATTAGGGGACATAATAAATTATTTATTTCATCAATAAATTATGTTATAATACACCAGGGACATGGTAAATTAGTTATATAATCAGTATACTATGTTGTTATAAACTTTTTACACATGAGGAATTATACCTGTAATCAGTAAACTATGTTAGTATAAACCTTAAAGCATGATGAATTAGTTCTGTAATCAGTAAAATATGTTATAATAAACCTTGGGGCACGAGGAATTAGTTCTGTAATCAATAAAATATGTTATAATAAACCAGGGGACATGATAAGTATAATAAACCAGGGGACATGATAAGTTAGTCTTGTAAGCAGTATACTATGTTGTTATAAACATTGGGACATGTAAAATTAGTTCTGTAATCAGTTAACTATGTTATAATAAACCAGGGGACATAATAAAATATTTCTGTAATCAGTAAACTATGTTATAAAAAAACCAGAGGACAGAAAAAATCAGGTTATTATAAAGAAATAACGGAATATTGGTGTCTATAGGAAAAACAATAAAAAAATATAATTACATGAGAAAAAGAAGCAGCGGTCACTTTGGTATTTGACTGTTCAAGCTTGGAATAGCTATTTCTAACTGTATGTGTCGGTTCCTTTTGGTCTATAGTCTTCACCAGGCAGTCATCTTAGATTTTGTCACTTCAAGTTTGTTATAATTGTTTACTTAGATGTACCTAAAGGTATTTCTCAAATTGCATATGTAGATAACACTTATCACATATCTTTGCATATTTCATTTTGAGAGTAACGAGAAAGACAAGATGGTCAAGAGACAGACATCTTGGAATTTGACAGGTCAAGTTTGTTATCCTTTTTAAAAAAAATGCCTGGCATATCTTTCCCAAATTTCATATTTAGATTTAACTTGGCCAATATCTTTGCATGATTCATTTTGAGAGTGATCAGTAAAACAATATGTCCGAAACGCAGCCATCTTGGATTGTGATGATTTATTCACTATTTCTGAAAACGTACTTGACAGATCTTTTTGACATTCTATGTGTAGATTAGCCTTGTTTAAATAAGTTATTCGCCTTTACTGGTTTTCGATTTTTTTGGTTTTCAACCCAACAGATACGAGAATAAAATTAAGAGAAGGAACAGGATCGAATTCACATAGAAATAATAAAGATCTTACAATGGTAGATACAGAAATATCTCTTGTATCTCTTTTTCTTTTTACCCCTAATGTTTTCAAACTGACTTTGCCTAGAGCCCCATTCTTAGGACTTTTTTCTCTTTGCACCTGTAGACGGATTTGAAAATGAAAACAGACAAAAGGATGTGTGTTGCTATTCCCTGCAAGTGCTGCCCTTTATTTGTTCAGCTTGCAATCAATATTTTCAGCATGATGATTGTAAATACGTTTTATTGTATACTAGCAGTATACGTAGGTAGATATAATACTGTTGATACCATTATGTCGTTGTTATGTCAAAACATTAGAAATACGTAGATTTACGTACATTTTCAAACATTTTCAAACATTTTCTAGTTGTTTTCTTTTGCTGACATTGACTACACTAAAGGTTTCTGATGTCGAATGTGAATTCTCGAGAACTTTTCTCTGAAATCAACTTTTTGCCTGTTTCGTCCTCCTTAGTTAGGGTAAATTGATCATTTCAGCGAACACTTGTAAACAACATAATATACAAAGTAATACAATGCGAAGGGCACATTTAATGTGGGTCCAAAATGAATTTTACTGTCGACGGGCAACACTTTCCCGGTATACAGTATGTACTTGCATGACTGTGTAAGTCATATCGAACCTGTGACTTTGTATTTGACCTACTGCTCCGCGTCAAATTGTTGGATACTGTTGCTGTAATCGGCTTTTATAAGCCACGTTTGTTACCGTTATGATACATTTCTTCAAATTTCACTGGTGACAACTGTTCAAATTCTATCTTCAATTTGTTTGACGGTTGCAACGTTCTGATATGCTTTCTTTGGTTTGCTGGAATCCTGTGAAAACACAGAGAAAAGTATTAATACAAAAATAGATAGAGAGAAAAGGAAAACAACTGTTGATTAAGGTAGAAATGTTAATAGTTTTTTGTTCATTGGCTAACAATGTGGTCAGAAAATATCAATCTTGATGTTCATAAGTTATTTTGAAAAATCGATAGTTTGATTGTAGATTTATTTTGAATATTGAAATTGTCCGATACACATTCCTTAGTTAGCTTACTGTATATTGTGGCTAAATTGTCATGGGGGACATATGCGTATATATGCATTCATAACATTATTAGACTTAATTCACTTACAATCAGCACCTGAGGGTGTATAACAGTTGTTTGGTTTCTGAACGAAGCTGAACAGTAGGGTTACCATGTGACAATACGATTATTAGTGGTTGGGTCATGGGATAAATTATTGTCTATGGACACAACCAAGATAGGCAGTGGCTGGATAACCAAATTGTGTGTTGCTTGATAGTTGAATAACTGTATTAAAGTGCTGGCTTGGTGGTGGTGTAAACACATTACCTATGGCTTCATAGTAGGCTAACCGGAGTGTGGTGTATGGATAGTCAGATAACCTAATTACAGGGGGCAAAATACCTTGATAGATGGTGGTTTTATAAGCAGTACAATCCTATTAGTGGTGAATTAATTACGGAGACCAATCCCATAAGAACCTAGATAATACAATGGGCATCAACTGATTCATTGTCTCCACTCTAGTTTATATAAGAATTCCATTGCAGAGAGGGTATTCATGTCTTACATACACTTTCTAGTTTCAATATATTCTTTTCCGTGATTTAAACAAAATATACTAACAAATAAGCATTGTTGTGATTGCATCTCTTGGGTTGCTGACCAAGCTTTGTAGCGGAATCTGAGATGTACACTTTTTCTATATCAGTTATACAATTATTGGGATATATCCTTCTATATAGTTAATAACGTCTGTTTATGGATAGCTTTTGATAATTTTTACTTTTATAACATGATCGTCAGCATTTTACAGCATTTTGATAACCTGGCATACATCATAGACTTTTGAAACAGGTCAAAGCTAAACGATATACCGGATAGAGCTGTAATCCTCAAAAATGGTAAGAAGGGAGTTCAGACGAGGTTGTTAATTACAGGTCAAAGTGTAAAGGTCACAGTTGAATATTCGATTGTAAGGAGTTGGCTTATTTTGTCTCAGTAAATTAAATTGTTCATGATAAACTAGTTATGGTTGTTATCAATTGCTAAGGACAAAATATATGGGATCAAATGACTTTCAGGAAAAACTTTAATTTAATTTAATATTTTTCAGAAATAATTTGGTCAAATAAAGCACTAAGATAATTATGTGCATATTAAAATAATGAAAATATATATCTTACTAATTTTTGCTGGGTTTATCTGATTTCAGCAACTTGGTAACGCAGAGCATACATACTAACAATGTTAATCCCATTAATACAAATGTCACTGATGACGAGAAAGGCCAGAAGGAAGGGGAGACGACTGGTGTCCTAAGGAGATGAAAGGCCTTGAAACAAATGACAAAGAAGACAAAGTTTAAACGTTGTCCATGTTAGTCAAATAAGGAAATTATACTGATTGATTGATTAAAACAGATATAACCAATGATCTTTTACGTAAATGCATGTGTATGTGTCTGCACACTCCGAAAATCCATAAGACTTGTACGGATTACAGTGAAATACATGCCTTTTCTGTTCTTTGAAATAAACAGACATTTAGTATGTGAATACTTAGGTTTTCCTTCATGGTAAACTATTCTAAAGTAATCTGAAGTCTTCTCTTTCGGAATAAAGAGTAAAGGTGACGCAACTGTAACTTTTGGCTAGCTACATCCCATCGCAGTGGTGAAGGGAGGTATTGATTCATTAATATAGTATGAAAATCAAATATATCTAATAGCATCAAATCAATATATTGTTAAGTGTTCAAACGAAAGATGTGTTTGCCAAGATATGTCACGATTAATTTCAACATTAAGATACATTTACTGAAAAAATTGAGCTTACAAGGATGTCACTGTTTTCAAAAACGTTGTTTATTTCTGAAATTAGCAAAACAACTCATCAACAATTCATTGGTTATAAAAATTCGTCTGAAGTCATGAATTTATGGTTGAACCTTTCACCCCTATGTAAAGTTAATAAACTCTATCGTAAACAGATATGGATGAGTTTATTATAGTATTTTGTATTGAAATGGTTAAATCCATTGTATACACGTATACTATTCCATATCCACTTCATGTAAAAATATCAAAACTTAATATGTTTTACCATGCTCATCATAGGTCTGCTATTTCATGTTCCCAAGTATAATGACAGTCTCAACTTCAGCATTGAGCGAAGGTTTGAGATTTTTTACTTCCTCGACTATATATTGCCTATGTTAACGTATCCTACCAAAGTTGTCATTGTATTGTTCAAAGTATAGATCGCCTTAGCTAAAGACTCAAGTGACCTATTCAGGTCACCTTTCGTCCATCGTTGTGTGTCGTCTGTCGTTCGTAAACTTTTGACATTATTTTACTTCATCTAAAGAACCAGTGGATAGATGATTTTCAAACCTGGTTAGAATCATCCTTGGTGATAGAGGGTACAACTATTGTAAAATGAATGTCCTGCCCCAACCCTAGGGGCCGGAGGGGGCGGGTAAATTAACCAATATGTTGGTGACGTGACGAGTATTGTATTTCACTTTGTTTACATGCTGGTTTCCACAATTTTTAATTAAAACACAATATACATATAACCAAATTATAGTTGAATCACATGTACATATATCAAACAGTATGTTGGTCACAGAAGTTATGAACCTCTTCATCAACACACTATCCATTGTGATTGCAATTGTTTATTATACTACGAAATCGCAAGCATTGCTTCAAGTTTGGCACCTTGAGTTATCATTACGAAACCTAAATATTTGGCATGTTACGTTGTCATGCTGATTAAGGTGTTTGAATATATTATGACACTTATATCGATATTTGAATAATGTATCTGTCTTTTAAATAAATTTAGTATGGTTTCTGGCGCTGTTATACCAGTATGACCGATGTTCTTGATTCGATTATAGTAGCCTCCAATAAAGATGTTAACTGAACAAGAATATTCAGATAAGATAAGAGATGTCGAGGTTTGCCTTTCAAGGTCGGTCGGGCTAAAAAGTCATGCATAAGAGCCGATAAAACTGTAAAGTCAGACAAGAAGAGGCCACGGGCCACGTAGTTATCTCGGCATATTTCATAAACAGACTAATAACAAGTCTAAGCAGCGAGGTGACGATATCAACGCTTTGTTACCTGTGTAGTGCTGGTCGATATAGGGGTGTGTGCGTGTGTATGTTTTGATTTTACCAAGGCGTAGTTTAAACCTGCAAATTGAGACTGCGAGCAGATAAGCTTGGTCAGGATAAGGTTATTAATTAAAAAAATGATATAAACGGAATGGGGGTTGATGTGGGAAAGGAGAGGGGTGTATGTTATGATGTTTATCAGTTGACACATTTCTAGTCTTGACAAAATATGTCATTGCTAAATTATATAATAAAATTGATGCAAAATATCTTGTTTCTGGGACCTGACAGCATGATTAAGCATTTTCAAGCACTTCAGTCATATGCCAAGAGAACTGCGTGGCCATTGGCCTCTTGCTACTTCCACATCAATTGCATCATCTCGTGGTGCAAAGGCGACTGTGGACAATTTAGCATGCATGGCATACTTATCAATTAAGGTCCTCTAGCCTACTCTGTCGGTGTGATAGCTTGCAGCCGACCTGCTCCAACTTCCTTAAAAAGAAACATAACTACGAAAATCCCTGTTGTCATTAACAAAACAGGAACTACATGTAAAGCTGATAATGCTGATAACCAACTCTCTCTCCTCCCCATTAGCTGTGCATTATGGAGGCTGATATCACGTTATCCCACCCTTGTTGGTGTGTCTTCCTTTTAAATCGGAATAGATCGGCTTGTCACTCCCTGGAAGTGATAGCCTCCTGCAGAATGGCGCGATCTAGGTCACAACAATAGTAAGATACCACGTCATCATTGCATTGACGTCACGTCAACAGCAGCAGACCATGGAAAACAACTCTGGATTTGCTTGAAAAAAGTGCATTCAACGCTAATATCTCATACAATCAATGCGTGTCAACGGATTCGTGAGTGAAATAGGATGGGAGAAAAACAATCATTCCCAACCTTGAGGATATGACAAAGAAATATCCAACCCTCCGGATGATATTCTTGAATGTATTACCCTCGGCAAAGGGACAGGTAACACAATCAAAATCAAGAATATCAACCCTCGGGTTGGATATTTCTAGGTTACATCCTCAAGGTAGAGGAAGATTATGTTAGTCAACGTTTTAAATCTGCTCGCCATTTCAGTTTACAAAGTAAAGGTCCAAGCTTGGTAACCTTAACACATAGCAGATCTATATAATGTAGAATCACCCCACATCTACTGCAACGGAAAGTCCATCAATCAATACAATTAAATCGTAAATAGTCAATTATTACATCACAAAGATGGTAATAGTACATGCAAAGCATGTACACCCCCAACCAGTCCCATCAAGCAGCCCACGTCTGGTGTAACAGATGCTCTTGTAAGTCCTGATGCTCAATATAGACATTGGAACGTGCATGTTAATTAATGACCAGGGTACCAATTTCTAAAAAATAGAAAAAATATTAATCAACAATTGTATCAAACCTGATATCCGGCGTCACAATATACTGCCACAAATATCTAGATAGACCACGAATGCGATAGAAAGCTAAGCTTAGACAAACATTTAGTTCCATGACTGGAGTCTCTGGGCTATAATTTGTTATACATGTTAGATCATGTATTAATGCATCTAGAAGAAGTTAATATCATTCACGACCAGGCGAGCATGCGTTTATTACACACACACTATTCGTGGTTCAATTCAAATTTGATACGGTGTGCAGTTTTTAAATATCGCCCGTGAACCAATCTATGTTTGTATTACGTACGGGCGTTGGCCGCAGGTCAGCATTTTTTTCAGCGGTAATTTCCGTTGGTGATGTCATCGAGATATGGCGATATCGACGGACGTTATGGTAAATAAAACACGTTGTAAGGGTGTTGATGACCCAGCTTTATCTATTGTGTGCGTGGTGTGATACCGAGAAATGAGAGTTTGCGTAATAAATCGGTCAGCTTCACATACTGGGAACGTGTGTCAGTGTAATGTGAAAAGAGTGTACAGATTACAAGTGTGCCACAACATGAAAACAATCGGGTTTATATTAACAGACGTTTAGATTAATTGATAAATACATGAAAATATGAAATAGCCAATGAAAAGTTGAATAAAACAATTACATTAATTGCCGATTGAACGATTAGTTCAATAATGATGACACATCGTTCAATTAAAATAGCTTTGAAACAATCTACAAATTTAATCATTAAAACAATCATTAATTAAACGAATAATCAGACGGATAGACGAAAGGACCGACGTATTTGAACTGTCATAAACCCTGAGATTACCAGTGAGAAAGATTGGCTACTTGTGGTGGTGGTTGTGGGGAATTACTAGCGATGACAAACCAGCAGCAAACAAGCACTATATGAGCTGATGCTGAAATTATCTAAACACTGGCATAGCGCCATATGACGTAACTAATCAATCATTTAGGCAGACTAGATATTATACTGAGGTAAATGTCTTTGATTTATTATGTTCTTCCTCTTTTAAATGAGTTGAAACATCCTATATTGGAAGGACGAAGCAAACTGTAAAACATATGAAAGCACCAACGAAACTGTCCCACGTCTAGGTATAAAAAGGCAGGAACACTGGAAACACATTTTGAAAACCAGGATACAATCAACGAATCAGACATAATGCATAACATTTGAGAAAATTAGGAGCATGGTCGATGGTAAGTTTTAAGTTAATTTTAAAATATAAAACTTCTTTCAGTAGTCGGTTCATCGTCAACCGGTGCATCGTATGCTTTCGCTTTATCTACACATAGGTTAGTCTGAACATCATATACACATCTAATCTACGTCGTGATACAAACCAGACCCCTCGCATATGCACGCACATTCGCTACACACCAAAAATAACACACACGCTTGTACCATGGAACATTCTAAATATGTTTGACATCTNCCCCCACCCCATCCCCCGTATAAAGGTGCTATTCTTGGAATAACATGGTTGCGTATGCAATTTTAAATGTCCCATGACCAGCGTTGACATGACTGATTAAGGGACACATGATTAATTCCGTTTTGTTTCGTGTATTTCCGTCTCCTATTCTGGTCCTTGCGTATTGTCAATACGGTACAATTTTATAAACATTTAAATTTGCAGGAATTTTTCTCTTTTTGTTTCCTGTCACCAAAATGTGTGTGTATTTAAACGAAGTACCAGGTTCCGTCACTTTAAACAAAGGCACAACAAATACTGTTTACATGTGATTTTTGTATCTCAAATTATGATACCTATTCATATCCCACACCACACTCTCCTATACTGAAAAATGCTAATTTTCACATCAGTCGTGGTTTTACCGATGTGTGTGTCCATCGGGGCAGAGCCTTTAAATGCCCAATCATGTTACTATCATGTGAAGACATGTAAATACGCTGGTCATTTGATATTCCTTGTACACTGTACCGGCATTTAACACATAAACGCACGTGCCTGACCTGTATCTAATAATGTCAGGTAAGGTTGATATCTTCAGATATGCCAGATGTGCTAGGTTCCGAATCGAAAGGGTGACTATTTTGAAGCTTGCAGTCATTGATACTTATCGATGTTATGAAAACTCTTCATGAATTTAATCATCTTTGATTCCGGTATGGTTTAACTTTGACTGGTGACGTTGTGGTGAACTGTTTTCTATTTAGGATTTCATCTTGCTTTGTAAGGTATACCGTACACGCTTAAATTTGTTTTAATAACATGCGTCAACTGTGTATACTTGCATTATCACATGTACTTGTCGTTAGGAGGTAGTAACCAATATATGATTCCCCGTATCAGAACGTACGCTCCTATTATCAAGTACACAACTACTTGACAAAGGACAGTTCTAAATGTAAACCCCATGAACAATCACTCTTTTCAGTGTATTTTATTTATTAGATACAATTTTTTTTTCTTTTCTACGGGCTATTTCTATGGCCGTCTTTCGCAAGCAACCCGATCAAAAAGGAGGACGCAATGAAATATAACACAATGTCATATACCAGAATCCTTAACTTATGCATAATAACTGTTCCCGTAGTTTTTATGACCACGTAGAATGTCCCCTTTTTAACTTGGCTTACCCGAATTGTTCAATCAGTTGTCCCCAAAACCACTAGTCGTAAACCCATAGTGTTTTAAAATAGACCTTGTACGTGTCTCTCTCCTTTCTTTTCTGTGTTTAGACAGTTAGCGATATCGTGTATATGAACAAGAGCCTGAATCGCTCACCTGGCATACATCTGACACTTGTTACCTTAACAGTCGACTAAATAAGGCTACAGGCCACATATCAGTACCATGACTCAAACTCATTAAAAAGAAACTGTTCAACGTATTTGACCCCTGTGATCAACAAGGACATCGAGTTTTAAGTGAACAATCTTAATCACCCTTCATCCAAGAATGTAACTTTCCAAACATCACCACCCAAGAACTGTTGTTTATTGAAAAGATGTATTTTAAAGGTTAATGCACAATTGACCAGATGTGACCCTGAAAGTATGTCAATGTCAGTCACATGAACAATTTAGAAAGCTCTTCATCTTGTTACATATCAACACCCTTTGTATTTTGATTATTCAAAAGAAAATGTTTTAGGTGTTCAACATATTCGATCTCAGTGACCGTGAATATGGATAAAAGTAATCAATTTGAGCAAACTGGGTAGCGCTTTATGCCAGCATGCTACTGACAAAATACCACCACCCTGGTCCTTTTTATTATTCAGAAGAAGTTATTTGGAGATTTCAACATATTCGACCCCCTATGACCTTGAATATGATCCTTCATCCCAGCATATTACTGGCCAAATATCCTCACCCTGGTCTTTTTCTATTATTAAGAAGAAGTCGTTGAAAGGTTTTGAACATATTTGACCACTTCATCTTGAATTAACTGAAATCAACTCGTTGCATAGTTTAGGTTAATGTGTTAACGATACTACATATATTCATCCTGCAATTTAATTACCCTTATTTGGTGTACTACTTTTCCAAGTCTCTTGTTTGTGTTTGATGTTTAAGAAAATTTCATGGATATTTAATAGATTGCTTCATTTGGCCAAGGGTAATATATCGAATCTGATTAGGAGGCGTACAAATGTGAGAAAAAATAAACGAATCTTGTTGAAAGCGCATACAGTGTCTTTAAAACTGTGACATAGAAAACCGGTAGTTTAGTTAAGTTTCACTTCATCACAGACATCTTCAAATACAGGTCGATTCCAAGAAAGCCTGGTTACTTGTGATATTTTGTTTTACAGGACAGTGAAAGCATACACATGCATCAGGCCTACAGTAAAGTAAACATAATAACCAACCAAAAATGTGACCGATATTTTACGTTGTAAATGTAATAAAACAAAATGGAAAAGGTTAACAGTTAACTGCATATTGTTGTCCGTAATTTACATTCTCCGACCCTAAGTATTTTTCCGAGTTTTGGTTTTGACACAGGATATTTTGTAGAAACATGTAGACATGCAATGTTTTGTTACATGTTTACATGAGTAAAATACTTCACTCAAACTATTTAGGAATATATGCCTAGCTCGTCTGAGGTTTAATGCACGTTAATTATTTTTTTTTAGAATAGCTGTTTACGAATTTAAAAAAGGCCAATAAAGCGGCTAATTTGAAAATGTTAATTCCTCCGCTCCATTCAACGCCAATATTTTTACCTTTTTCTAAAATTGCCATTGTGTTGCTATTTTAATTGTAGAAATTAACTGTGGCTGTACAAGTTTATAATGTTCATTATAATGAAAACAGTCTTGGTATTTTTACTTGTTAACATGTATATCAGCTGAAGCCCTTTATCGATTCCCCAAAAGTTGAAGAACAACACAAACAAAAACAATTTGGCAGGGAAAGAAACACATCGATCCAGTGTATATTAAGGACAGGTAGAAATCAAAACGTTTGATCAAAATCGTTAAATAAGCAAAACAAATCAGCAAAAATCACATATTATGTAAAATTCGTGTGTTTGGCCGATCTTAGCAAAAATAAATAAAAAACGAGTACACGGACATTTGGATTTCTTTGTATTTTTATTTCTCATAATCTCCTCATTAAAATTAGGCATTTCTTAAAAATAGATAGTAAGATAAACATTAAGATTATCATCAACTACAATACCACATTCTTGGAATAATTTGTTATTTAAATAAATAATTAAAAGCAATACCCCTTATATATGTATATAGGTGATGTAGCGTGAACCGTGTCTCTCAATTTGATCTATGGATGTCTCTCTTATTACGACACGACTTAAAAAAGAAAATGTACAAAAATTACTACTTCAAATTGTACATGCTTTAAGAGAAAAACAACAACATAATATTATGATCTTCTGAAAAGTTAATGCCAGGTTTAAATCTAAATAAATCATAATTGTACCTCAGTTTCATGCATATTTGACTCATCGTCCACAGTTAAATTAGATGGACGCACTTATCGGAAGTTTTACCAGAATGTGGAAATGAAAAGCTGTACTGAGAACTAATTCAGCTTTAAATTCTGTTTCTTTATTTCGTAGTTCTTTGTAGCGCCATCCGAAGATGGAGTAAAACTGTAATATACAAACACACATTCTTACTAACACGATATAGTAAGCTTATAAACCCTGAAAGAGAAATTAGATAATTCAACTTAATTTGACATGTCGTGTATGACAAATGTACAATATTACTCAATATTAATGAATAGAAGAAACATGTAACACATATTTATCAATAGTTACCCTATGCGTTGCCGCAGATGTAAAAAAATCTCTATTTATGGTGTGTTTCTAAAATGGAGTCTGCTAAAGATATGAGGCAAAACTAAACTGCGGACGGTAATGTCCGGAATGGCGTATAAAGTAATAACCGACTCAACCTGGTAGATAAATCCGGAAAATACCACATACATATTACATTTGTTTAGGTAAACTCAATACTTAGTATTTATGTATTCTACAAATAAATCACTATTTAAAATAAATGTTCTTTTTTGTAACATGACAAAAGCCATTCTCAGGTTTTCACTTGGTTGTTGATAAGTGGTAAATTCTGAAGTTGGTTTTTTTTAGACACCAATTACAGTGGTTTGTACCAAGTAATGTTGATTCATTGAGTTAAATGCCTTTCAGCTATCATGTTAGTGATAAGGGTGGCTTAAGGGACATAACTGATACATAGATTATCAAAATAGACCAGGAAGTATTTGGGTAACCGTTAACAAATTGTACACCAGTTGTGTGATCATCGACCTGGTCAGTATGACACTGGACAGACGACTACAGTGTTTGTTATGGCTGTACATCACAACAGTCCAAGGTAAGATTATTTATATAAGGTGAAGGGAGAGTAAATATATAACACCTGGCTATAACTATAGATACCCTACGTCTTTGTCGCTGATGATATAACGACAGTAACAACTAGTAAATAACATACATATACCTTCAATGGTATGATCCTGCAATAACATAAAATACCTATTAAAGTTTATTGAATAATATTTATATACATATATATATACCTTTGATAATGATATACTATGTGCCTCAATGTTATGCTCCTATACTATGTTTTGTTCTCGTACATGTTACTGTCTTTGTCATACTTTCTAATCGTTTGCTTTATATATAGAAACTCGTGTTATGGTGTTACGGACTGTAAATCGTGACAACATAATACCGTTCAATTTAAATATCATACCGTAATTATATAGTAGTGAGTAATGCAATAGTGGCTTACTGTTGGAAACGGAGTTGATACCATATACATGTATTATATATAGTACACTGGCGGGCTATTTTTAAGCATGACTATATCGATATTATCTTATACATCAAAATCACGTATTAAATGTGGACTGTGTTGGCGACAATGTCGTTAATTATTGTTTTCTTACTTTACAATGAGAATGTACATAGCACGTGGTGTATCACAATTTGCACAAAACAGGTCTTACCTACATACGTATATCTGGGCTAAGTTGTTCAAATGGTGATTTATTGTCTATGTATCTTTAAAATGCAGCCATTTACCGAGTTAAACTATTGTAGTGGCGTAAAATACAAACAAATGTATATGTTTATTAACCACATTGTTAGAGGTTGAACAATGTCGTTAAACAGTGGTTAACGTATCACCTTTTGAACTTAACATCATCGAATAGATTCGGCAGAAAGTCACTAAATAAATTGACAAGACTATAAGTCTGAATTATGTGTCTTGGATATATATTCTTAACGTTAGGAAGCATATGCTTACTTAGATTAATTATTGTTGAATGCCTGTATCAATAAATGTAACTACTTTAAAGTGCACATTGATTGAAAATAAAAATTAATACATTATTTTTTTTATATAATCCAAAAACCAAAATGTTGAAAACCGCATAAAAAATAGCCAATTCAATGCCGAGATATTGACGTGTAAAGTGTACGTTTTCCACCTGTCTTTCTACTACTAACTAGCGTAATCGACTCCCGGTGAACGGGACACTTTTCGGCTGTGACGTCACAAGTTCAAAGGCTGTAGCAACCACTGTATATAAGGAAAAGGCGAGACTATGAATTTTGAGTATTCAGATTATGCTGAAGAACTTCCAAACAGTAGGTTTAGTTGAAACCAAACTGATGACTCTGAAGAGGGAAACACAGACTGGTAGCATTGCATATCCAGTTTCTGAGCACTAATTGGAAATTGTCATTTAAACGATTTGAAGAAAATTTCACACTCTTCGTTGTTCATCAGCAATGTTTATACTTTAATTTTAGTTGGAAAATTAGTTTGCAATCACATTTTTACTCTACAGTGAGAACTTAATCCATCACGTCGTCGTCGTTGAACAGTGCCATGTCGTGACCAGTTTCTGTGTCAGATTATGTATACAGTATTGCAAGGTTTTATACTGTGGTATCACTACATTTCCGAATATTGCATTTGTAAAAAGATGTTAAAAAACCTTCATGTCTGTGTCTGCTTTATGTTTAAATGGCAATACAATGTTAACACGGACTTAGCCTATATTATCAGAAATTAACGACACTGTACAGTCTCCCTTATGTAAGGTCGACTATTAAACAGCAAAATACCGACAAACAGTTGCACATCTAATTTAATACAACACTTATATATACAGTGCTTAATTAACTTTATCTGGAAATTTTTTTTATATGAGTCAAAATAAACTTTTGTTCTCTATATAAGATACAAAAGTTAAAACATTTTGATAAATAATGAACATAATCACGATCCTCAGATAAATAACACTAAATACACATTTGTCTAGTCCTGCCAGCAGGAGGATCAAGATACACCTTTATACTTGTGTCAAAGGGCTATCAGCAGGTGTGCCGGGGTTACCTGTTTTAGTAATTATATTACACCGTATGTGTCTTCCAATTCTCCATATAAAGATGTGCTTTTTTAACTTCAAAAATAAAAGACGGAAATTATCCCCTCCCCATACATTTATATTAAATGCAACGAAAAAACCCAGATAATTTCACAAATATACATATTTATTCAAATTGTTCAGAGTTTCATTTTTTTTCGCAGTCATAGAGCCACTTTTTGCATATCTATGAGGCTGACGTCAGCCTCGTGTCGAAACATGTGCGTGTTGGTTGACTGGTTATTTTAGAGTGAAAGTTGCTGCGCTTCCAGTCAATCACATAATGGGTCACTGCACGTGGCTGACATCATCCTTATGAGTATAAAAAGTGGCTCAATGACTGAAAAAACTTGAAACTCTGTGAAATGGCGTGTGTTTTTGGAGGAAACGAAGATCACATGTCCGCGGAAATAGAATACATTTCGTATATATAATCGTTGAGAGTGGCAGTTTTTACCGAAAGCCGATCTAAACCCTTAAAACATGTAAAACCACTCTAAACACCTTAGTTTAGGTCCAAAAAAGCTGTTACAAATTATCAGGTTCCTGTGATCGAACGCACGATCGAAGCTTCCCGGTAAATTTCTAATATTGCTGTTTGAAAGCGATCGCAGCTGAGGCAAAGGTGTGTTTTCAGAGAAAAACATCGCAATATCACGGAAACGAACGCCTTTTATTTGTATAATAGGAAGTATTTGAGTAGCGTTATATAGCAAGCCATTCAGAGTACACTTTAACTAATGATAGACATACGTATACCGGTACTTTGCCTATGTTACAACAACTATGAAATAACTTACATTTATCAGTCTTATTGGTCCAGAAGTTAGCGCACGGGGGTTCTTATAGTGGGAGGAAACAGGGCTACCCAGGGACGCCATACCTTTTCACATCCGATCGAGGATTCGAACCCGGCCGCCTTGGTGAAAGGCAAGTGCGCCATCCACTGCACCACCCGACTATTCGATCAGTTACATGTACATGTATTGTTCACATACTAAAGTAACGCTGATTATAGGTTCGGCAACCTTTGCTATGAATACTTTTCTTTTACAATATTAATGTCCGATGCAGACAAGAAGTGACATATAGCCTTGCAGAAATCAAGTGAAAATGCTATCAATTTCTGTAAAACAATCTTACAATTACTTTTGTCAGTGGGCATCTACTTTTATATTCAATATAAACATGGATCCATCTGACTCTTAACCCTTCACTCGTGCCTAAATATATTCACTGAACATAGTACACATATACCATACTTTTGATTATCGCTTTTCTCATCCGTACAGGTATGACTGGATTATCCGTGGTGGTCAGTATCTCTCCTACAGCCGATGTCGTGTCCGGTCAGACCCTCTCTATCACGTGTCAGTGGTCAGCTGACTACACAGGACCAAATGCTGTTGTTAACTATAAACTAAATGATTGCGGTGGTGCAATAGGTTCACTGTTTATAAACGTTGGGACAGCATGTCCATCAGTACCACCCTACACACTAACATGTAACAGAGCCACGAGGACACTGGGGATACAGATTCCCGCCAACAGTTACAGTCATGGGGACATATGGACGTGTGAGGGGAGAAATGACAACTACGATAATACAACACCACCACAGACAGATACGACCACAGTTGATGTTGTATGTGAGTGTATAACACTTGTAAATACATTATGTATATAAATGTATGATATATGTGGCAGAGCGTATCTTTAGAAAATGCAGAATGTACTGGAATTCCGCGTTTAGTTGGGCTGTACGTTGCATCAATGTCATTTACGTAAGTAGATTTAAAGAAGTAAGGGACCGGTATTCGTATTGTTTGTAGTGAGCGATTTGAATATTGCAGTATTTCCATTATCCCTGTGTTCTTGTTTATCTCTTTATAAATCTTATATAAAATGGTTAATATTGTCCTTAATCTAAAGGCTTTATTAAAAAAAAATAACAGTAACTGTCATTATTCAATTAGTTGCCCATTTAGATCTTGTCGTATTGTGTATGTGAGTGCGTTTTTCGGTTGAGTTTTGTTCTAAAAAACGTTACCCTGCTACGTGAGTTGCGGAGTTATGGTCCTATTTCATTAACACTGTACCTTGTGTGATGCACCAAACCTCTGCAAACCACATGTGTATGGTGTGAACACAATATGCGGCCACGTCAAACAGGACGATGCTAGCTTGCGCAAATTTTCGTTATGAACGAACGATATTTGCTATAGTTATAGTAGTTGGCATACATTTAGGAATGACGACTTATATCGATACGCGTGTAGCACACATCCAACACAGGTATACCGATAAGCATACTTGAATTAGTACGTACACGGTCTCTCGTGACCCGGTACACCTTACTAGACTTCGTGTGACAGTGCCAGATGTGACTAAACAAGAGTGTATAACCGGATGTGTGTACTTTTTTTCGTGGTTTGCAGCTTTTAAATCATTTTGTGGGTACAAACTTTCGTGGTTAGCCCTTACAACGAAATATATCCACCATTCTGGGAATCATTGGTCCGACACAGTAACACATTTGCGGTATGTTTTAAAATGACAAAGAGTCACTCATCATACTTCTCTGTTCATTTCAAACAATTAAAATGATTTCCACACAAGTTAAGTCAATTTAACCGTGGCGGAAGTGTTGACATCATGCTAACACACCACTGACCTGTTCTCACGACGTCCCGTACGCCTACCTTTTTCACTTGATTGGTTACACACTGTATTAATCAATCATACATTATGTCCATTCCAGACAAAAAAGCATACCTTTATTTTCAAAGAATTTATCAATTATCTCAAAAGACTCGTTTGTGACCATCAGTGACCATCATCCCCTCCCCCACTGTGACTGTAGGTACCACACTGATGTGTCATTAACATTATATGTATATGCTACAATTCCTGTGACATCAGTGACCATCACCCCCTCCACCACTGTGACTGTAGGTACCACACTAACGTGTCAGTAACATATTATGTATATATAACAGTTCCTGTGACAGGACATCAGTGACCATCACCCCTCCATCATTGTGACTGTAGGTACCCCACTGATATATCATATTAACATTATATATATATATTACAGTTCCTGTGACATCAGTGACCATCATCCCCTCCACAACTGTGAATGTAACTGTAGGTACCCTACTGATGTGTCATTAACATTATATGTATATATTATAGTACCTGTGACATCAGTGACCATCACCCCCTCCACCACTGTGCTAGTAGATGTAGGTACCAGCACCACGTTGACCTGTACTACACAGCCACACAGTCGTCCTACGGCCAGTGTCACGTGGTATCGAGTGGTCAGTGGTCAGCCACAGCAGATCACCTCCAACATCAATGTGTCACATGACACTCAGAACTCCACCCAGACAACGACAAGTGTTCTGTCCTACGTACCGTCCAAGGAGGACAACGGACGGACGGTGTATTGTGTATCAGACGGAGGATGGACAGGAAGTACTGACACAACTCTTGAGTCGGCTCGGGTTTCTATCAATGTTAGATGTAAGTGTGATTCTTCAATTTGTATTAGTTCTAACGTTTAATTCGTATAAAAAATGTTGGACAACAGTTTCACATGGCATCGTGATTAGGAAAATAACATGTACTCAATAGTTATTATTTAAACTAATATTCATAATTGGTATATCAAAATTGATAAAGAATAGAATGCATACTTTTAATTTACCGACACAATGCTGAAAAATATGTGATTGATTCCGTAACAGCTGTTATAAATTATTAATGTTTTAATGATATTGATTGTATCCTTTGAAAAGATTGCAATGGTAACCAAGACAATATCTGATCATTTTTCTGATCTTTACAGCTTGTGTTTTAACAAACCCTAATATAAAAGTGGAACTTATTGGCATTGGTAAGAAATCTTTAAAAAAAATATTAAGTATGGTCACGCAAAAAAATTGAAATTGACTGAGCATTCAAATTTTAGAAATAGATGCAAAATGTCATCTAATTTATAACGCAAATACTAATAAAAAAAAATCTAGTAGTCCTTTTATTTATGAGATAAGAATTGGAATAATGTAGGTAAATACAATAAACATATCGATTATAGCAAACTAAAATTGAGCACTGTTTCAACATACTGATTTTTAAAAAAATAAGGAATTTAAAAAGGGAATGTGTACACAAAATAATTTCCACGGATACGAAAATTATAACGTTCGGAGGTTTTAATGGAACAAGTCACTTTTGCAAAAATGAAAATGAAGACCTTTTACGTTTATTCTTTAAATGTTAATACTCTTAAATCATATAAATAAGTTTATATCGAACACTTTTCCCGTTTATGCTAACAATGTACTCGATACAGCTGTACCATACATGATCATGTAAGGAGAGGGCGCTCATAGGCTTCGCCTGTTGCCAAATTCGTTTGTATCTAAGATCTTAACAATAACTATTCTGAAATGAAATTCATTGTAATGTATTTTGGCTTACTGCATATACATTTTGAAGTGCAATCGTATCCATGTGTATAATGTTCATCATTTAATGGCCTTACATAGTTATTTTAGAACCTTACAATACATAGTGGAATAATCATAATAAAAGAGTGAAACATTAAGGCATTTGTAAGAAATCTTTAAAATATGAAATATGTTCAATCATATGTGCCCTTCAGTTCACAGAAAAAAAAACTATGGACAATCTTGAAAAGAATTGCCTGAGCATTCAAATTGAATTAGTTTATGCAAATTTTAACTGATAAATGAAATTGAAATTATAATAAAACTGAATGTTTACTGTCTAAAAGTCATTTTAGTCCACATGAAGAGACGCGTTCAAAAATTAATAATTACTTCCATTTGCAAACTAGAACTTAAAGGTATCTTTAATTATTTTCAGATAAAACATTAACATAAAAAGGTACATATATTCGATGGAGATATTGATCGGTTGAGAGTGATAATGAAGTCATGCAATATTGTTAGCGGCAATAACTTGGTGTCACAAAAACGTTTCAATATATATTTTGCAACATTCCCCTATTTCAAATAAATACAGCGTAGTGCGTCAAGCACAGCAACGGGAAAAAAACAAATGCAAGAATAAAAAATACTAATAATTTCATACTTTTTTATATATGTAGCTGCGGTAAATAACTCGCAGTCATGACTTGATAACAACCTGTATCACCAAACATATTATAAAGGAAACTATTGAGGAAAGAAACGGTAACATGTACGCTAATGGATTTATTTCGTTACTGTACAATACGATGCAATATAACAACTAAATTACACCCCTTATGTTCCAAACAGAGACGCTATATGGTGCTGACTAGCCTGTATTCGAGTTTATTTTATAGTAAGAAACTAAGCGAATATACTAATTTTCCAATTCTTGATTTACGACACAAAACCATGCTTTAATATAACAACAATCAGCAATAGCCATTCTTTACAGTTTTGCAAACAACGTGACCTTACTGTTGAGGAACCGTTTTATATTTCTCAATATGTCTTATGAAATTAGATCGTTATGGGACCGCAAAGCACAGCTGATAATGTACCAGTCAATTGACTAACAGTCGTAGGTTTGATTTCCAGAGGCAGAACGATGCTGTTGTCATCTTGAACAAGAAGGTTTACGACACTATCTGCCAAGGATGGATTATTTTATGGTGTTCGTTTTGTATTTCAGTTTCAGAGTTGGTGTAGTTTAGAGGTGAAGCATTATACAAGAGCAGATGGAATTACGGACTCATAACAAGCAGAACATATATACATCATCCTATACACATATGCGCACACATTTGCACATATATTGAAAGGGTTCATGTCGTAAAACGCGATCGAGTAAGGCTGCTCTCCCACTCTTTTGAAGATGTTGAAAAAACCTCAATACACGGCTGCCATTCCGTAAAAACACTTTAAAAAAATGCTTTTAGATACACAAGGGCGTTTTACAAATGCTTTATAATACAATTATATTGTAATAAGCAGTGTGTTGATATACAGATTCACCTGATACTGACCCCGTCGTGTCCGGCTATGATGGTTCTACAATGTACATGGGCGACTCTGTGACACTGTCATGTACGGTCGTAGGAGGTTACCCGACGGCCAGTCTGTCTTGGACCTGTCCTGATGGTACGACTAGTGTTAGTGGTACTGTGACGGTGACTTTCTCCAACATATTCCACGGAAAGACGTGTTCTTGTGTGGCGACACATATCGCTGGGGGCTACAGCCGGACGGTAACAACGCCAATATTTATCGTCAATAGTGAGTGTTGCTATATCGTCAATATATGCCACAAATGTGACTGTAGGTACCACAGTGATTTGTCATTAACATCATATGTATATATTTCAGTTCCTGTAACAACGGTGATTATTACCCCCTCCACCACTGTGACTGTAGATGTAGGAACCAGCACCACACTGACCTGTACCACACATCCTCATAGTCGTCCTACGGCAAACGTCACGTGGTATCGAGTGGTCAGTGGTCAACCACAGCAGATCACCGGCAAAATCAGTGTGTCTTATGACACGCATGAATCCGCCCAGACAACCACAAGTGTTCTGTCCTACGTACCGTCAAAGGCGGAACACGGACGGACGGTGTACTGTGTATCAGACGGAGGACGGACAGGAAGTACTACTACCAGTCTGCAGTCGAACACTGTCACTTTGAACGTCAGATGTATGTATGAAATTATTCCTCTTAGGCTTTTTTTTATATGTCATCGTTTTTATTTAAACATACAGACAGATGTGATATTGATATATTGCCCAAATAATTCATATCCTTAACTGTTTATCATATGTTCAACTGACATCACATACAAAATCAAGAGATAGTTTAAGCAACAGTGTCAATTGCAACGACTTAACGTTATCAATGAAACGTTTTTATATGTTACGTTTTATCTTCATATGTATTTAGACAAACAGAATTACAAGCTACAAGTGGACGTAAGTAACATTAAGAATGTAATTAATTGTGCAAACAAATATGAAATAGAAATCAATAGTATTGATAACTATGTCATTTGTATTGATGTTCTCTTTGCTAACATGTTCTGTCAATTTCATTTCAAATCATTTCAAATATCTTGAAGATCGTCCTGCTATCAGCATCGCGCCACTGGGTGATCCATACGTCATCACAGAAGGTATATCAGGCATATCCCTGGTATGTACCGTTACCTCTGCCAATCCATCGGTCACATCTATATTCTGGACAAGGGAGGTAACCGAAGTATCTAACACTGGTGTGTACAATTTACCCACCATCACACCCGGGCACTCTGGGGAGTACACTTGTTCTGCAATCAATGATGTTGGAACCACGACAGAAAGCATAACTTTGGTAGTTATATGTGAGTATTGTAAACACATTATAAATTATAAATCCAGAAAGTGTTTGCACTAAGACTGAAAAGTTTTAATTATATTTGTAACTCAAAGCGGGTCATGACTGACGTAGGGTTTTAGTTTATTCAGGAAATTTAAAAGTTTTTGAGAAAATGAGCAATTTTCATTATGTTACGTAACACTAAGCTGTACTCGCGACTTTCATGCAGTTTCGTGATTTATTAGGAGACGGGATGATAGGAGCCAGAAGAACTAACAAAAACAAAAGTTCAGATCTTGGGATCATTTGTAATTAAAACAGAAGTTTGAACTTGACTTAGTTATCCAATGTTACTGAATAACTAACTTTTAAATATGTTATAGCGTCCCCGGCAGAACCAAACATAGTTGGGATCACGAATGTGTCGTCATCCTCACTCACAGTGCAATGGAGTTCAGACGAGAAAAGCAGTGCACCGAGTACATTCAATATAAGTCACAGATGTAAACATTGTGATTTACCTGATAGCACGTCCATCGGTCGTACTACCAATGAGGACGTATATTCAACAACATTCACCAACCTACTGCCTGAAACTGTATACTATGTCAACATCACGGCTATTAATCAAGGCGGTTCCAGCAGTCCATTGGATTTAATTGTGTCCACTACACCTGGTATGTTTAACGAGAATTGTGTGTTCATAAGAACCAATTTTAGTGAAGGCACATTGCACGAACTGATTCTTTTTTTTTAAATGTGCGGGACAAATTAATAGTTTTGACAAGTTTATATATTTTAAACCCCAGCAAAACTGTAGATTGTCAAGTTGTAATGTATCAAATGTTAATATGAGGGTTAACGTTATCATTATCTTCGAGTACAATGAACATCCAGGTTAACACATCGTTGATCAGTTCAAAGCAATATGTATTAATGCATTGTTGCAAACATATATAACTTATCTTACAACAAAAGTATCTTTTGTTTCGCAGAGGAAACCTGTTGCTCTCCGTTAAAAGATGCCAGCTCTTCTACTACGGCCCTGCTAGTGGTTGGTGCGATTTTAATCTTGATCTCATTTTGTGTGTTGGGTTTTTCGATCTGTCTGTATAGTAAGTATACTTTTTTTTAAACATAATAAACCATTATTTGTAACCTTTGTTGTCATGTCTATTAACCACATTTTATGAAATATATGGCGAAATAAACATCACGTGACAAAACGTTAAAAATAAGATACAGATAAGTTTATGTAGCAGAGAGCATGTACAAGCATAGGTTCATTTGATCACTGCTATGCATAAACTTAATGTACTCATCGAAAAAAATGTACACAGGAGTGTCATAACGGACCGTGTGGACAAAGCGAATCATGTCAGAAACAGGGAACAGGCTGAGAATATGGACAGAGATAATAATTAACGAGTAAGACCAGTGGAGGAAGCCGTCCATATCAGAAGACATGGGCCCGCTTTGTACAGATACCAGCGGGACTCTTAAGAACTTAGAGTTTGTGCATGACAGCGATCAGACGAACCTTATTTATCAGATTCAAATGTGTTGTATTAAGAAAAGAAGTTAAACCAAGAAGCAATTGAAATAGTATTAAGACACTGGTGTTATAACGTAATGCCTTGTATCATTGAAATAAAACATGCCTAGTGAAACGTTTCGCGCATGCGTTGCTGTGTGTCAGATTAACATGCTGACATTTATACAGTATATGATAAAGTGTTTTTGCTATTATATTCCAGGAAAGTCACGTTTGCCAGCCAGGTAACTTAAATTGATGATATTGTATATTACTTGTTTGAATAAACGTCAATGCGTTGTCTGTATGACTGTGAAATGTTACGATTACCAATTATAAATAAATGAAATTTCATATATTGTCGATCTGTAGGTAAATCAAATTGATGTCTCGAATTTGTAACCATCATACATTATAAATGTACCTATTGAGAGGACAGGAAGTAGTGACTACACCCCGTTGTTGTTTTTAGGGTGTTTTTTTCATTCTGTACATTAATCCAATAATTATCCTGGACATTTCCTTATTTGCTTTCCATGTCACTACAATAAAACATCGGAACACAGTCTAAATTAGACTCTTGACTCCTACAATATATAGGACTGAATTGAGTCAACAGACCCCATTTCTATCAACGGTTCGTTAAACAGTAAACTAAATCATCAAAGACGATATATGTACTGTTTGTGGAATATTTAAGCACTATCTGTTACAACCTGTTACTCATATTGTCAAATGTTGCAATCTTAAATCAGTTTATTGTATTATAAGATTCGAGCATTTACTAATTTTAAGACGATATTTAACGACCAATGCTTTTCAGTCTTGTACGAGTTTAAGTACGTCAATCATAAGTTATCAGGAGAACGTACATTGATATATTATGACATAATATTCCTCAACAGTCCGGTATGTATAGACCTATATGTCTTTTATGTTTTGATGATGTGTCTTATTCCTTACAGCTTCGCACTAATATAACTACGCATTGATTTTTCTGCATAAATATAACACAAAAAACGTGTGTTTTCAACTAGCAGTGAATAGCTATTCAGTATTGACCGATATATATTGTAAATTTGAAAGTAGAAAATTTATGTCAGTATCGTGCTTAATAATTGTTTTTACATCAAATAGTCAATATAATACGATTTTGTTTTTTCAGAACTGCCGACCAACAAGAAGACACTCCTAAGTCAGTTGTATTCAGCAGTGTTCTGCGTTCTGAGAAAGGTATTACATTTTGTATAACCGTTATATGCGCCTTATGAATGGTAAACATGTTCCATGGAATGGATTATATATATCTAGATAATATATAGTAGAAAATAAATAAACAAGTTCTTGTTGAACGGCAGTTCTTTCTATTTAAACCTTTCCTAGTTGTGATGTTGCCCGATATTCGGTCTAAAGGTATCTGTATAAAACATTGTATACATTATATCTCTGTTTTTCAATCTTTTCAGAAAGAGAGCAGGTGCCTGCAGAAGAAAAGTATGTATGCTCTTAAAGCAAATTCCTTATATGATAATCGTATTGCAATGAATAGGAACATGGTGAAATTCAAGTGTAAATCTCAATCATTAGTAAAACTTATGGATATTGTGAAACACAATATCAACATGTAATTTGAATGACAGATTATTTAAGAAAAAAACATGAAGAGGATACCTGAGCACATTCTAGAGTTATACAGACATACAATAACGATTTACACCAAAGTAATATACATACATATTATATGTTTGTCTATACTTTCGATAGTAAATCCCACTACCAGGAGCTGGATCCACGTGACATACAATCTCCGTCACCATATCAAAGTCTAACTGAAGGTACTTTGAAGTATTTGACTTTATGTAATGTATTCCATCCTGATCTATATCAACTGTATCTTTTACAAAACCATTTTTTTGTATTTAATTATTTTCACTTTTTATCCACTTTTAAACTGACACAAAAACCATAAAAAATATAAAGGGACAATCACCACATTCTATTAAATATGCATATTGTTTGTACAGGTGACGATGGTGCTATGACCGAATATGAAAGGTGAGTACTCTGTTCATCTCATAGTAAATATAACTTTGGCTTTACTTTGAAAGCAGAATTTAAGTAATTCCCATTTTCGCCGGCAATGTGACATTTCTTTCGTCTGTTTTAAATAGTATGCATAATTGTTATAGTACTTAGACTATTTTATGTTCGAGCTAATAATGCAGATATGAAAAAAAATCTGAAATCCAAATCAGTTATTGAAACATGCATCATGGTATACTAAACTTCATCTGTGACGACACTTTTCCAACAGATCAATTGCTACATTTAATAGGTAGTTTAACTTTAACATAAACATATGTTTAAATTATTCCATTACAGGAACAATTACGAAACCCTCAAAGGCGATCCAGTGAATAAGGATTACGAACAACTCCGGGGAGATGATGGTTAGTAGTCCTTTATTTACAAATGTATATCCATTATACCTACAAAGGGTATATGGTGTCTTTTAGGAAAGTCGCATAACTTAAACAATGCAAGGAAATACGTAAATATAATCAACCGATCTTAATACAAATAATCACAGTTACAGTTGTAATTAGCATGTGCTTCATTCGTCCTAAAACTGAATGAAATACATTTTACTGTATTTATTCCTGTTCGTAACATTGTATCCTATATATAAAATCCAGGAGAACGTTTTGCTCAATATCGAAAACTACATTTGAACGGTCACTTTCAATTTAAACTTAGTGAAATGCAATGTACTAATATTACACTTATGATGAATGGTTCATACCAATCGCAACCCGTATTATAAAATTAATCCATTTTATTTTTCATTTCAGGATCCAAACATTACGTTAATACCTGAGGAAGAGCTTGACACAAGCGATATATGTGAACATTATGATATTCTGAAACACACATCACTACAAATAGTTTAAAACGGGTGCTATAAGTTATCAATTCCAGTATATTTGCTGACGTCCTCTGCCATTGATATTGTTTTTAAACTGTGTTTTATGACGGTCACAGTACAACGACAACATGGAACGAATACATCCGAATACTGTTGATATCTAAAGGGAGCGCCAAATGTAAAATGTTGTAAACAATTCTCAAATTTACAATCTATATTTTGAAAATGATAAATTTTACTTAGTATTTTAATTCAGGATCCAAACATTATATTGTATATACCTTACAAAGACATTGCCTTAAGAATGCGTTATCAGATTAACATTAATATGAGAATCTCTATCTATAGCAGGAAGTGCACTTCGGACCCACCTATATAAACTATATCCTAGACGTCTATGCCGTTCATAGTCTCTCTTGTGTGCAAAGACATAATGTCTGACTTAAAATTGAGTGACGACATATGTATTGTCTTACCCTATTGTCTTATCTTTAATAGAAAGGTGTAGACATATACCAGTTGAAACGTTATGTTCCATATACAAAGACCTTATGTGATCTTTCGTCTGGGCCGGGATGATAAATCAATGATTTTCAAAAATCTATTTCAAAATTGCTGAAAATTTGCAGTCATAGAACATTCAAGTTTATATCTGGACTGGTTTATTTTTCGAGTTTAAGATGCCGGACAATACAGGCTTCGTCAAATCAGGAGAACACATGTATAGTAACAGCCGGAAAACACAGGCTTAGTCACATCAGGACAATGTGGACGATTAGNGTTTTCTTTTGTCAATAATGTCGCATTGTCATCAAATAAAAGAAAGAAAGAAATTGGAATTGAATAGAATTGTCTGGAAAGAAGCATTTTAATAACAACGCCTCTCTTTAAGGACTGCAGTATGGTTGGGTATGGTTATAGAATTGCAATTTCAACTATTTCAATTTCATAATGCTGGACTAAATCCTGAGGGTCAAGGGCTGAACCCTAGAACTATTGTGGTAGCGTAAGTGTAAACTGTTCATGTACCGCTATTGTATTGCATGACATTGTTATATCTACTCCTTACATGTTATGAATACAAAATGTCTTCCCATGTCCAGCTCAGTATTTAAGATCAAGGTCAAGAGTCAAATTGACCTTTTTACTACAGCTGAGATATGCCTCACTGAAACCATTATTTCAGTACTTGCACTAAAACTCCTTATTAGAGATGTTGACTACCCATTTTTTTAGTATAGAATCATTCAGAGCTGCGTCTGTGCTGGTGTTGTTTGGTGTTGATTTTTCTACAAGACGGTTTAATTTAGTCAAGTGGCGTTGAATAATTGTGTCGAATGCTCTTTCACCAATCCGCTACATGTCAGTTTGTCGGTGAGTACTGTTATGTCATGCCTGTATGAGTCTATTTTGTTGTTAACAAACCGTATTCTCTCTTTCAATAGGTCTTTCTGTTCTTTCTTGATTGTATTTCTAGCATTGGTAGTGTTGACTGGTCACCTGAAATTCAGACTTGAAGGTGTTATATGTAAGTCTCTGCATATCAGCGTAAACAGCAGGTGATTTCAGTGTCTCGCTAATTTCTTTTCTAGGCTCTCTAATTGCCGCACATCTTTGACAATATCTTGTCTGTACTTTGTTACTTCTTAACATTTTCTTCAGGTTGGTACGTATGGATTATGAAGAGTTCTTCACAAG